TCTGGAAGCAGCAAACCCCTGTAGCTGCCAGAGCCACTGTGCTGGCAGGACCAGCACCTTGGGGGTTAATGCCACCACCACTCACCCCACTGCCTTTCAGTGGTGATGGCATTAACCCCATGGATGCTGGTTGCCCCACTGCAGAATTTCCAGGTTGAGATCTCTATTGGGTGGCAGGGCAACCAATGGCAGCACAGAGAACATACAGGGGTTAATGCTGCTGCCAGAGGTAAGTTGTGCAGCCCGTGAGAAGCCCTGCAGTCCAGATTCAACACACTAAACCAAATAATCCTGCTTCTAACTAGTCAGTAGAGGACTCAAGTCCCCAAGGCTACCAGTCTGGGACTTTCCAAAAGAACCAAATTTAGACTAAAATAAGTTCAGAGGATGAACATTAGGTACTTTTCAGCACATGCTAAATGAAGAACAAGTGAAACAACTGTTATAGGACAGTCAAGGCTGAAACCTGTCAAAACCAGAGATGCTCAACCATTCAGCCTCATGGGTCAGATGAGGGGTGTGAGGCCAGTCTGCAGGCTGGAACTGTCACGGGGTCAGTGTGTGGAGGTGGGCCTGTGCCACCTGGATCCAGCTGTGCTGCCTAACCCAGTACACAAGTCCACAGTAGCCTGCAGGGTGCTCCATAGATTCAAATATTTGGCAGCTGGGGAGTGGCAATTCATTCTGCCACCTGTCCTGCGCAACCACATTTTTGGAACCTTGGGGAGCCCTGCAGGCCAAGTGATATGGCTATGTGGGCTGGATCTGGCCTGCAGGCCAGGGGTTTAGCACTCCTGGTCACAACTGTTACATGTATGCAATGTATGATTTTTGTCAGCTGTAATGCTCTGCAATATAAAGTAATAGTTATCAATCTCTTGAATAAAATGCACTCTATTATTGCCTCTGGTAACTGTCACTCCCAAATGGTTGAGAGCTTACTGGGCTGGTTAAATAAGTCACCACTCAAAGAGCTGAACTCAAGTTGCATTCTTAATACAGCAACATTTCTGAGTCAGAAGGCAGCCTTGCTGCCTCACTCCTTCCTTTGTTTATATGCTGTCCTTCTTTAAATACCTTGCTCTTAGAAAGCAGTGTTCATTAGGAGACCTCAAGAGCATCTAAAGGAGTGAAGTATAAAATTATATCTATCTTAGAGATAGAGAATCAAGGGAGAGGCGTGTAACTGTCCCCAGATCACCCAGGCCAATGACAGGGTGGAACAGAACTGAAGCCACTGCCTGAGTCTCAGACTTGTGCTCCCTGGAAAAGGTCACACTGCCTCCCCATTAAGTATCTGTGTACAGTGTCTCTGTGACTACAAAGACACTTCAGTAGTCCATGCTGACCTGGAGGACGGACCGCAATGCTGCAGTCAGGTTTGGACATTGGCAATGCTAGAGAAGGAGGAGGAGAAATGCAGTTGAATTGAAACTACCCTCAGCATTGCAACCAGACCCACAATGGAAGAAAAGCTAGTGATATTGCCAGTTCTGAGCAGAGTGGAAAAGAATGACTCCCAGCTCATCCTCCAGCCCCTTTTCACTGGGAGAGGAAAAATCAGTGACAGAGCTCAGGGCTTCTGAGCACAGATCTGGTGATTACCATGTCTGCTGTCACCTGGCTGCTGGGATCCATGCCACAAGGGACCTAGAAGAGGCAACAGCTCTCATAAGAACTGTGACTGAAGAGAAGAAGTAGGGTTCAGTTGCTAAAGTTATGGTGCCATTTGACTTAGGAGAACTTTTGTGAGTCTTTTGCTAGCCCGTTCTTCATTCTGGCCAGCAGGAACAATGGCAGCCTGCTCTGCCCCAAATCACAGCACAGAAGCAGCACATCCACATTCATTAAACACAGGGTGCAGAGAGGACAAGTAGCCATTTCCTGCCTTGGACCATGCCAAAAGCAAAGATAGATGACAATGCGGGAAACTCCCACAGGCTTGCAGGGCACATGTCGTCACCTGGCCTGGTCCCTCCCATAGCAGCAGGATTTCACAATGAATTGTACACTTGTGGATTTGTGGTTCACTGAAAAACAGATCAGTGAGGTCCTGTGGTAAACAGAGAATGTCCACATCTTTGGAGTCTTTTGTTTGCCAATGCCACATAAGACAATTTATTTCCTTAGTAGTTTTTTTAAGCTCTGATCATACTCTGCTGTTATTTATTCAGTTACCTTCTAAAACAGTCTAGTAATATTTACAATCATGTTTAACCAAGAAAACCATTGAGACTCACTTTTAAGGACCATCTAATAAACAGTACTCAGAACAGCGTGCAATCTTACCTGCTAATACAGTAGAAAGCAATGAGCCTGAATAAATCAGCAAAACTTATTCCAGAACCCTCCAAGGAAAAGGCTGCAAAGATAGATTCAGGGAGGGGGGTGGGAAGAAACAAATCAGTCCTTAAATAATATTCTAAGAAAACAAGCATAACAACACCTCCAGTTTTTACACAGCATTAGTGGTAGTAAGCTTGTAACATCAAGCCAACTACTGTTTTGTTAAATCAAAAACAACTCTGTGGAGGAGTGTACGTCTCGGCCAAAGACATTTTAGTAAATATAGTAATAGTCTGGGCAGTGGAGTTGGGGTTTTTTTCATTCTAAACACATGTTCTAGTCCTTGGGAAATGGATCAAAAGAAACTAGAGTTGCACAACCAGGAAATCAATAATAATGGAGGCTTTGTGTTACCCATTGTATTTATATTAAGCGATTCATTCTAAAACTCGCTTTCCTTCTCTTGCTGTTCATCCACTGAGGTTTTTTTTGCCAGGTGTCGAGTTTCAATAAATACATATCACAATAAATGACAAATCCAGGAATTTCTCTCCTTTTAACAAAGTTCTCTGAAGTCAATTCTGCTTCTCACTCACACTATGTGGTGGCTTTTACAAAATTATTAGGAAAAAATGTATTAAACAAGTCTGAATTAGAACTCTTCTAAAAAGCCAAACAAATATTGTTACTGTAAATGCACAGAGATTGTTATTATACATGGTTACTGTACATGGTTCTGTACTGATATACATCTTTACAAACCACAAAATTAATCTGTGCTGGAACAGGAAGCAGCACCATTGATATCAAGTATAGCTACAGCCACTCCTGCCAGTGGTGAAAATTCATCCCAAGCAATAAAGGCTCAGAATAACAGTAAGCAGGAGGAGACCTTTTACCTCCTGGCTGCCTCATATGAATCTGCTTGAGAAGAGTAACAGAAGAACTGGTCGGTGATTGTTACAGAAAGCCCCCAAAGCCAAACACCTTGCAACTGGTTCAGAGGCACAGTGGCTAATTATCTTCCCAGAGGCATAGTGGCTAATGCAAGCAAATATGCAGTGTCTGTACATACGGTAGGTGCTTCGTAGATGCAGGCATGCTTTACATATTAATCCATTTATTTATGAGGATACATGCCTCAGAAACATTTAGATTGAATCATGGTAATTCCTTCTACCAGAACATGATGAGAAAGCAATGTGTAAGCTTAAAGGTATACTCTGGAATGTCTCTTGGCGGCCAGCAAAAACAATATCACATTGGTGCTCTCTGTGCTAGGCTACCTCCCCATAACTTTCCAGACTACATAAAATCCTACCATTGATAACAAAATCCCCAATGAGCCAGGGCTGAGCTCTCTCTGTGAAACTTTTCCAGAATGTTAGACCCTGGGTGATGGAAAGCCCAGGACTGTCATAGAACAAGCCCATGAAAAAGTCAATGACCTGCAAAAAAAGGCCCCCAAAAAAGCCTCCACAACAGATGATAATGAATGCGTATTGTGCGCAGCAGCTGTTGCTTCTTCATCCAGATGAGTCTTTATGGCTGCAGAAGCCAAAGGTCATCACTCTCCATTCTTTTTGGAACATAGGCTCCAAACTCTAGGGAGCCGTAAGCTTCAGCCACCATCAGGATCTGTCTGCTCTTGGGTTAAGAGTCATGTAACAGCTAAATCAAAATGATGTCATTATTAAATTCAAGCTCTCCATGCCTTAGTAGGGGATGAGATATGTCTTTTGTATTTTACAGCAAAATGCAAACTCTCCCTTTCAAAAAAAACCTTCCCCAACTAAAAAGCTCTATCCAAATAAGGCACAAAATAAACAAAAAATGAATCTGGGGGATTTACCAGATGGTTTGCATCGAGATCCCCTACCCAGCTTTGAAAATCTTGATCACAAATGCTGAGTAACCGTAAACCCACAAATTAAACCCATCACATCCCAGTTGATACTCTCCACCTGAAACAAAACTTTGTTCATGGATAAGTAACATACTAGAAGTTTGGAGAGGGGGCTTAATTGCCATAATAGGCATCAGGACATAACTTTAGACAACACAGATTAAACATTTTCTATTGCTGTCAATCAAGCAGGTTTCATAAATATTACGTTCATTTGAGAGTGGGAAAAAGGTGACTTATCACTAATAACGTTATCCTTTACTGGATAAATATCATCTCTAGCTTTGACCAAAATCTATAAATAGCTACAATTACAGTTTTGGAGTGAGGGAAAAAAACCCTAAATGAAACCACAGGGGTCACTAGAGAAAGGAAATAGCTCTTCCTCCACAGATCATTCCTGAAGAAGGCTGCTCAGCTGAAAACATTTCCAATGTACAGCATGTTAAAATAAGCTCCTTTGTTCCATTTGAAGTTTCCAAATTATGCTATAAATCATCATAAGCTGCTTTTTTCATGCCCAGTTTTCCTCAGAAGTATTTTTTCACCCTCCTCCCTTTACGTAGATCACTAAAATTTTGTTTTGAAATCTACCGGAATCCTGCCACTGTTTTTTATTTCTAGTAATGAAGACATGGAACATGCTTGTAACATTACAAAAATTAAGCAAATGTGACCTCGCATCCAAAACAATTCTTTCACTAGAAACTTTATTAAGGGGTTAAAGTCTGATCCCTTGTTTGGTGAAAAGCTGTTCTTAACCCTACGAATCAAATTAAGAACTAAAAATAATTCATAATCCCAGACTCTCATTTATACTTATGGGAGACAGCTGACAGAGGAAAGAGTCTCCTTGGTGTCCTACCCTGGTGGGAACATCAATGGTGTTTCTAGGAAAGGGGTCATTTAAATTCTCTCTGAGATACTAAGAAAGCTTCACCAGCGAAGACTGAAAGCACAGACACTCCAATTAACCACAGAATCATAGAAAGTTAGGGTTGGAAGGGACCTCAGGAGGTCATCTAGTCCAACCCTCTGCTCAAAGCAGGACCAGCCCCAACTAGATCATTTTAGCCAGGGCTTCATCTAGCTGGGTCTTAAAAACCTCCAAGGATGGAGATTCCACCACCTCTCTGGGTAACCTGTTCCAGTCACGTTTTTCCTAATATACAGCTTAAACCTCCCTTGCTGCAACTTGAGACCACTGCTCCTTATTCTGTTTCCTGTCACCACTGAGAACAGTCTAGCAAGGTTTAATTAAGCAAGGTACTTCATACATTCCTAACCTTGAAGTCCATGAACATGCCAACTGTCTTCATTAGAATTACTCATTAGCTTAGAAATTAGAAGAAAAAAGGGCTGGAAGGGATATGGACTCTTTCCCATCTGTCCATGTCTTTCTTAAAGTGCAATGCCCCAACACAAAGTACTCTAGGTGAGGTCTCACCCACACTGCACTGAGGGCAAGCAGCGCCTCCCATGACTTGCAACACTCCTGTTAATATGTACCAGTACACTCTTACCTTTATTTTGCAAAAATTACAGTGTTGACGTTGCTGAATAGGACCCTGTGTATCTCTACCCTCTCCAAACCAGTCCAACTCATTCAGAGATCTACCCAGATGGCTGTGGAGCCATTCGCAATACAGGTGCCTTTAACAGCACATGCTGTTATTCCCCTCATCCTGTACGGTTTTCTGCTCCTTACAGCCATCAGACTAAGATTCTCCTATGCAAGGTGCACAGGAGTACAAAGGTTTATAAGGTCTCATGAAGGACCAAAATCTCCATAACATAACTTACTGTATGTGCTTTCTTTTATTGCGAATTCCTTCAGGCAGGACCCAAATTCACTGGGCAGACGTAGTGATATGACTTTTTTCTGCAGTCTTGTGGATTTCCTGACCAGAAAGATCTATTAAGGCAAAAAAAGGCACAAATGTTTACAGACTTTTATTACACATACTTTTAACAGGTTTTAAACCCAAAATGGAGATTATGGAAATCTAATCTGACCTCCTGCACAACACCTGTCTTAGAACTTCACTCACTGATCCGCCTATCAAGCCCAATAATTTATGGTGAAACAGTTGCATCTCTTTCAGTAAGACATGCTATCTTCATTTAATGATGGCAAAATGAGGTGGAATTTATACATCCTTTGAAAAACTGCTCCTCAGGTTAACTATCCTCACTCATGCTTTATTTCTAGTTTGAACTTGCCTTGCTTCTGCTTCTAGCCATCAATCCTTGTTATGCCTCTATTTCAATACAAAACCCTCAGTATCAGTACCTATAAAGACAGAATAGTGTTGGGTGGTGGTATACTACAGGGTCCAAATGGTAACTAAGTAGGTACAGTTGATGATGTATCTTTGAAAGGTGAACAACACATATTAAAAACACAAACATTTGAGGAAGTACACAGATATAGCCAAGAACACGTTTCAGTCTCAAAAATAGATTTAATACAAATTAATTTCTACTAGAAAAGAGTAATAAAAGGTTTGAAAGAAGGGCATGTCTACTTGGCACAATGAAGTCATGTGGAGAGCCCTGAGCTTGCTCACTGAGACTTAGTTCAGGTATGGGAAACAGTCTAGCTGTGTTAGTGTGTCCCTTCCCTGGGCTAAATAATCCTGTTGAGAAGTGCAGTTTCTCCCTCACTGAAAAGCTTCTCATAAAAATTGGGATGGAAGCAGAAAAGTGCTTGTAATATTCTTAAAAATTATAAATCATAAGAAATCCTTCAGTTTGATTCTCACTTCCTATTGAAATCCAACTCACATAGCTTGCTTTGAATACGTGGTTTGATCAAAAAGTTCTAAGACTTGATGTTCGGGGTATTGCTCATGAGGAATTTGTACCGAGTGGTCAAACAATCAATCAAGCCTTTATAAAGAGGTTTTGATTCAATTGAAAGATAAAGTTAGAAGAAACTGCTGCAAGCTGTGTGAAAATGGTCGATGGTTTCTGCACCATGACAATGCTCCTTCACACACTGCTTTCTCCATTCAAGAATTTTTGGCTGAAAAAAAAACATTCCTGTAATACCACACCCTCCGTATTCACCTGATCTTGCCCCATGTGATGTTTTTCTGTTCCCAAAAATCAAAATGGAGCTGAAAGGAAGGAGATTTGATGACATTCCAACCATCCATAAGAATGTGGAAGCAGAACTCAAAAACCTCACAGTTGAAGACTTCCAGCATTGCTTCTGAAAGTGGCAGGAACGTTGGGACAAGTGCATATCATCTGGGGGAGATTACTTTGAAGGGGACAGCTCATAAAAATGTTGTTTGTACACTATTCTTTAAAATAAAGGCTGTCTTAGAACTTTTTGATCACCCCTCGTATCCCAGCATTAGGGTACAGGCTTGGTGGGAATTCAACTGGGATGGTTAGGACCAGCGCATCCTGCATTTTTGCAGTGAATTGGACTAAGTGGCCCTTGAGGTCCTTTCCAGCCATAGAGGTGTAAGGCAGGTCTCCCCACTCAGTGCAGCACTGTACAGATAACTGAAGGCATTTACAGATGTACTTGGTTGGGGGGTGGGGGAGGGGCGCGCTTTAATTAGAGCAGCTCTGAGAGACGCTCTAATTAAAGTGCCCGCAGTGTCACGTGCATCAGCATCCCCATACTGAAAAATGGCAGCAGGGGCACTTTAAATAAAGTTTGTCAAACATGCTTTAGTTAAAGCACTCCGGCCATCATTTTTCAGCACAGGGACGCTGATACATATGATGCTGCAGCCTACTGCAGTGTGGTATATACCATGCTCCAGAAGACTCAATTAAT